TCTCTCTCTCTCTCTCTCTCTCTCTCCTCTCTCTCTCTCTCCTCTCTCGCTCGCTCTTGCCTCTGCAATTCGCTTCTCCATCAGAATCGACAAACCATTTCTTATATGTAGGTAGGAGAGCCCTTCTCCTGCAAGTAGGCTAAGTAACCCAAGTAAGAATAAAGGTAGTGTTTGAGCGAGAATAGGTAATTTTGTGTAGATCAGATAAAAAATAGCAGGAGACCTGGATGGCCAAAGTGGGAATAAATTCGGCAGTCAGCGTGAGCTTATCATGCCCGCAGTCCTGACGCAGTCCACACGCTCATGCTATGAGGTGTCCATTGCGGCTTGTGTCGGATCATATTCGCCCCTCCGGTCCAATAACTAGAGTCTTCGGCCTTAGGGAGGCTTTTTTTCTTGTTTCATGATTTTTTTTCTGGTGGGGAGGGGGGTCTTGTGATTTTTTCCCCCCTTGTCGTCTCTGGCATCAGTGCCAGCAGTGTTAGGTCGTCATCTTTATGAGGTTCCTCACATCGCGCGTGTCGTACTTTTCTGACCCCCGGAGTCCTAGCTCCCACACACACACACATACAGAGAGAGAGAGAGAGAGAGAGAGAGAGAGAGAGAGAGAGAGAGAGAGAGAGGAAAATACTTACGTTGTGCTGGGTTGCGAGAGAGAGAGAGAGAGAGAGAGACAGAAAGGAGGAAGAGGCGATAAAAAGCAGGCCATGGTATGAGGGGTCACTGCTCATTACCCGTGGAGCTCCGCTAGGGGAAGCCTCCCTCGGCCCGGTCAGCAGCGTGACCAGCAGGGTCGGTCAACACAGGCTGCTGATACTGATGCTGCAGAGAGAAATGAGGTGTCACCACGTCGTAGCCCCTCGGGTGTCGCGAACGAGTGACCTCAATCACGGTCGAGAGATGTCGCCAATCGCCAGGCGTGATACCCCATCTCCACGGAACCCGCCCAGCTGCCACCCCATGGTACTTGCCCTCCTTGGAGTGCCGCGGCCACGACAGAACGCACAGCTTACTTAACTGAGTAGTGGAGAAGGTACTCTGGGTAATTTACGCTGAGATTTACTTACGGCGCGCGTGTGTGTGTGTGTGTGCGCGTGTGTGCGCGTGGGAGCGTTGTGCGGGTTGCGAAGTCCCCTTGCTTTATTTAGCGAAATATAGACATCATGCTCGCATGCTTACGAGGCGTCACTTCCGGGACTCTTTTAGCTTCTTCCGTTCGCCGCTTTCATTTTCCTCCTCTCCCCTATGCTCCCCCCCCCCTTCTCTCTCTCTCTCTCTCTCTCTCTCTCTCACTTGCTCTCTTGCTATCTCTCTTACACACACAGTTTTTCTCATGCTCGCTCGCCGCCCTTTTTTCTGCCCCACGCTCTCTATAGGGGACGGGTCGAGCGTGGCAAACGGTAAAAAGAGCATGGAGGCGGCAGCGGGCGGCAGCGAGTGGCGCGACCTCAAAGACATACAAAGTCATTTATTTCTATCGCCCAGCCCGGCCCGGCCCGAGCGAGCGCGGTGAGGGTGGCGGGGAGGGGGATGTCAAAGGCACGGGGGTGGACCGCGGCGGCGCTAAGTAGGCGTGTCGGCGGGGCTGGCGGCGGCGCTGGGGGTGGGGCCGCGACTGTTTCACTCGGAGGTGAGCACGCTGTGTGTAGTGTCCAATATAGTGCACAATTGGGCCCCTCGATGTAGCTGAAACAAAAACATGCTGCAGTCCGATACCTCAGAGCGAGAACCACTCAACCGCTGCAGGAAAGCCTATTATACTGAGTGGTTCTCGCTCTGAGGTATCGAGTCGCTATGATGAAACAAAAGTACGATACCTTTTCTTGTATTTTTTTCGTCTCTTGTAAAATGCGTTAAAACGACACGTCGCTAAGCTGTGAGCTGTAAGTGCATTTGAAAGTATAATTCAATGACTATCGGACTATCGGTTACGAAAGTCCTACTGTTTCTCCACTAAGCAAGATAGTGCACGGTAGTGCATCAAAAATTCCCCGTATTATGGAACCAATAAAACCTTGTCACTTGCCGATAAAATTACATTTTTCCCGAGGGGGAAACGACTAAGGTAATCCAGCTGACAGCCGAAAGGTAATCCGGCAGGGGTAATCCGAGGAAATTCTAAAAAATCCGTGGTAATCCGGGGAAATTTTGGGGTAATCCAGGCAAATTTTGGGGGTAATCCGGGGTAATCCTAGAGAAAAAGCAACGTAATCCGGACGACACTCCGGAGGTAATCCAGGTAATCCGTAATCCGGCTGACACAAAGTTTAACAGTCGTTTCCCCCTCGATTTTTCCTTTTCTTTTATTGTCATCGATTCTGGTCGACCAAGTTTATGTTAGAGTTTTACCCTCTGATATCAGCAGTGTTGGGAGCGACACTTTCAAGAAGTGTTGAACCTGCAACTACTCGCTGTTTCCCACACTCGGCTCCTCTCCACTCCAAGGCTGCTGCTGCTGTGTTGGCAGCCAGCGTGGCGAGAGGACGCGGTGACTTATGACACGAGCTGAGCGTGCCAAGCGGCGCCGGGCGAGGCGAGGCGAGGCGACGAGGGCGACGCCAGAGCGGCCAGACAAGAGCGTGGATAACTGCGTTAGTGACGGTGCATCGCCCCCCCCCCCTTTTTCCTCCTTTGCTGCTCACAGCTCAAGTGCTAAAAAATGTCAGCCACAGCGACACACCATCGCGGCGGCGTGGCGGAGCGTAGCCAGTGAGCCGTACCGCCGCCGCTCTCCGCCCTCCTCTCTCCGCCCCGCTTTCTCTTAAGCTCCTTTTCCTTTTCTCACGCGATGACTGGCTGCTCGTGAAGGTCAATCGAGAAGTCAACACTATCTGCAGTTATGCGCGATTTAAAGCATTTTTTTGTGCGACAGAATTAGTAAATTATTCACGAAAGAGAAACAATGGGTCTTGTTTGCAGGAATGCATCCCCTACTCACCGAACTAAGAACCATATTTAAGCCGAACGTGCTAAAGTGTGCACAATCCGAAATTGTCCAATCGGGGTTCGACTCCCGGCCAACGCGAGTACCTTTTCTTGTTGCTTCTTGTCTCCCGTAACACAGGACTGAGTTCCGAACTCGTAGTAAAGGAACCGAGCGTCTGGCCGAGCGCACTAAATCGTGGGCCGTTTGCAATAGTCTACCCGGGGTGGTGTTCGACTCCCGGCTAGCGCATTGCAATATTTTTTTTTCGTCGCTTCTTGTCTAGCGTGATGTAGGACCGAGTTCTGAACTCCCTGCGAGAAAGACGACCGGATAGCTGAGCGCGCCAAAGCGTCAACGTTCGAGATACCCGCCCGGGATTCAACTCCCGGCCGGAACGCAGATATTTTTTTTTTCTTCGCTTCTTGTCTTCCGTAACAAAGGACCGAGTTCGGAACTCACTATGAGGAAGAGGAGTGGGTGGCCGAGCGCGCTAAAGCGTTGGCCGTCTGGTATTGACTGACAGGGGTTCGACTCCCGGCCAGAGCGCACATAGTTTTTTCGTTAATTCTACGGCAGCCGAGCGTGCTCCATTGTAGACCGTCTGAAACTGTGTGCCCGGGGTTCGACTCCCGGTCAGCGCAGATTTTTTTTTTTTTTTGTCGCTTCTGGTCTTCCGTAGCAGTGGGCCGAGTTCTGAACGGCTGGTGAGGAGGCAAGCTCGCAGCCGAGCGCGCTGAACGGCGAACCGCTGCGATTGCGAAGCGATGGTCGCTGGTTCAAATACCCGCCCGCAGAATCATTTTTTCTGCTCCACAGTGGCCGTGGGCTAAAGGTGCATAAGAGCGGCAGCGACAGTGGAGGAGAGTTCCCTTCCCAGGTTGGCTTTGTGGCCATGAAACAATGAAGTTTTTAGCCACTAGCGACAGCGCTGTCCCCTGGAGAAAACACCGGCAATGCAACGGAATCTCCCCGCCAGCAGTCAGTGGCCGAGTGGGCTAAGGCGTCTGCAACTGGTCGCCTCGTCGTGGGAACGACTCCCACCCGAGGCGGGCGGTCTAAGATTTTTCTCGCTCCTCCGCTCTCCATTACGAAGGGGCGGCCCCTCCCCCCCACCTCCAAAATAAAAAGGAAAAATAAACTGATTCAAAATGTTCGCCCCGACCAGGACTCGACCCCTGGGCCGACGATCTCTCGTGCACCACGCGTTAGCGTGCTCGTCACTCGGCTGTCGGCTCCACTTGTCAGCTGAGAGTTCAGAACTCGGTCCTGCTTTACGAGTCTTGGTCTCCCGGACTGCACGCGTTCAGATCGGGTCAAGTCCACCTCCTCGACGCGCTGCAGCCCGGGTCGACTCCTGGCCAGAAACAAGGAAAATGGCCAGTAAATGAGCCCCCGCGCGCTCGGGGGTTAGGTTAGGTCAGCGGAGCGTGCATTTATTGTGTTTTTGGACAGGATTTCGACCCGGGCTGCAGCGCGTCGAGGAGGTGGACTTGACCCGACCTGAACGCGTGCAATCCGGGAGACCAAGCAAGACTCGTAAAGCAGGACCGAGTTCTGAACTCTGCTACGTCATGTGGAGCCGACAGCCGAGTGGCGAGCGTGCCGGGGCACTGCCCGGTCACCCTCGGTCTCGGGATCGAATCCCGTCCGTGGAACTTTTTCCCCCTCCGCTGGTCATGTCTTTGGGCGTCAGCGACAGCTGAGATGGGAATGTTGGCGGAACGGAAGCTACCGTCGGTCCGCGGTGGGTACGTCGGTAGCGAGCCGGCCCGGCGTGTGTCTGGTCGTGGGTTCGAGTGCTCCCCGTGGTTCATTTTTCCCGAGGTGGCCCCGGAGGCCTGTAGAGACATATGGAGAAGCGGACGAGGTCTCAGCACCAGCAGTCAGTGGCCGAGTGGGTTAAGGCGTCTGCGACTGATCGCTTCGGTGTGGGAACGACTCCCACCCAAAGCGGGCGATCCACGATTTTTCTCGCTCCTCCGCTCTCTATTACGAAGGGGCGACGAACGCACAAAAAAGACTCTCGCAGCGATCGCCAGTATCGTGGCACCGTAGCTGAGTCGGTAGAGCGTCATCTCGGAGAACCAATGGTCAGAGGTTCGAAGCCCACCAGGAATTCGTTTTCCACTTTCCGTTTGCAACGATTGGGCGAAGGCAGCTCAAGTATGATCCAGACGCCGTTGTCTCTCGCCGCCTAGGTAGTGTAGTGGTATCGCGCTCTAGCTGGCCCCGTCCCCCCGGGGGTCGTTGGTTCGGATCTCCGGACCAGCGGCCCTCTCCCCTCCCCTCCCTCCCCCCGGGGCAAGCGATGATGAGGAGCGATACCACTGACACCGAAGCTCATTTTGC